ACTCTTGACCTCAGGTGATCTGCTCACCTTGGTCTCCCAAAGTGCTGGGATTACAGGCATAAGCCACCACCCCTGGACCTGGTGTGACTTTTTAAAAGCATGCCCATTCATCTGCTCACTCAAGTCCACCCAGTACAGAGGAGTGTGATGAGGCCTCTGCACTGCAGGGCTCAGGAGAATCAGGGCTTTGGAAACGCCAACTTTGCCTACATCACTAGCACCCCTGTGAAGCCTAGAGATACTAAACCTTGTGTTTCATCTTCACCAAAAGATATGAAGGGTCCAGTGGACACTGGTCATCTTGGGCTGTCTGGCATCCATTCTCCCGCCTGGCTAAAGCACAGTGATCCCCTTCGGGAACCTTTACCTTCAACATGCATTCTTCATGGGAGGTGCTGTTGCCTCCCCTATGGAAGCCCAAAGGCCAGAATCTCCCTCACTCCAGTACACATGGGGTGGGGAGGGGCAGACCACAGGACCCTGGGCTGTTTTGGGGAGATGGAGGTCACTCCCCAGCCATGGTGGCACATGGACCAGACAGGCCTTGCCACTAACTTCTATGTGATGTCAATGGCCTCCCCACTTCCGGAGCTCCCCCAGGTGCTGCCTGTGTTCCAAGCCAGTCTCCTAGCCTGGTGGCAGCCCCCTTCTGATAGGTGCCCTTGGCTCATTCCTCACAATCAGGAATGCAGACTGGGCAATGGAGACAAATGGGCTGATGCAGAGAAGAGTATTTTTCATGGAAGCCCCAAACCCTCACCGCGCCTCAGAGTTTATTGCAGTGCTTCATTCAAACTGAGCTCTGAAATCTATTTTAAACTATTTTAAAAACACTCATTAAAACACTTAACAAGAACAGGTTACCCTTGGGGGACTCCTGACGGTGGGGTTAGGCCATCAGGAACCTTCTGGAGGGCTGATGACATTCTTCACCTCAATCTGTGTTGTGGTTTCAAGAGTAGAGGCATAGGACTGCACAACTAGGTGGATGTACTGGATGCCACTGATTGTACACTTAAAAATGCTTTCTGGTGGCAAATGTTATGTATATTTTACTGCAGTATAAAAAAGCACGATTTAAAACAGAATTCAAGATATTGCTTTAAAATGATTTCAAGAAATACCAGATTAAGCCAAAAAAGAAGAGTATAGGCATAAATTAAAAATTCATCAAGTTTTGCCCTCTTTACATATATGTGAGCTGCACCCTAATTAAAACAACAAAAAAACGCTGTTATATACCAAATTACACTACGCTGGCAACCCAAAGCTTTCCTAGTTATCTCAAGGTACCAGACAGCTCCTTTTCTACAGAACTCAAGACACAGCATCTCAAGCTCGAGCTGGATCCCGAAGTTTCAAGGCAGCTGTTGAAAATCTCTTAGCGCTGGCAAGCATGCATCTATGTGACTCAGATGATTTTTCCATTCTGTACAATCAAAACAAAATATGAAAAATCAACTGGATATTGGGATGAGAAAATCATAGACATGGAATACAGATAAACGGGTGCCAGCAGTTAGGGAAGCGGAGGGTGGCAGGGGGTGGCTCTCAAGAGGCAGTCCGAGGGGGCATCTCAGCAGCCATGGAACCTTCTGTTCCTGATTGTCATGGTGGATGGACAAAGCTGCCCATGTAATAAGACGTCACAGAACTTTATACGAAAGCATACCAAAAGATGAGTGCATGCAGAAACCAGTAAAACCTGATTAAGAGCTGTAGTCTAGATCACTCTATCAGGTCCATCTATTTCCTGGTTCTGAGAGTGCACTGCAGTTACGTCAGATGTTGCCACTGGACAAAGCTGGGTGATAGGTACAATAGACCTCTCTGTACTCTTTTGGCAATTATCGTGACTGTATAATTATTCAAAATAAAAACATTTTAAAGTCCATAAATAAATTGGATGCTGAGATCAATATACGACTGCCATAACCCCAGTTTTTATATTTTTCTGTTCATCAAATTATCCCATTGTTCTGACTGGTTTAATCATCTGTACAAGCAAAATATGACACATTAAAATAAATGTATACTAATAAAACACCATATAAGTTTAATTTTTTTAAAAAAGAAAAAAGGCACCTCCTCCTTTGGAGAAGCTGAAAATCACTGACGTATTAGAAAGAACACGCAGTGGGGATCAGGAAATGGACTGGTTCTGCCCTCAGCTAACCAGCTGTCACATGAAGAACAATGACTCCACCCGGTCCTGACCATTAAAGGACTTTCTTGTTAAGGAAGTGAGACGTATGCACCTGGGAGGGGATACGAGGACATAAGATGCTCCCTAGTAACATGTGGCAAAGTATCAAATGAATAGTGCTATGGATTGACTTGTGTCCCCACAAAATTCTTATGTAGAAACCGTAACTCCCAATGTGACTACAGGTAGACAGAGGACCTTTACAAAGCCAATTAAGGCTGGCCGGGCACGGTGGCTCACGCCTGTAATCCCAGCACTCTGGGAGGCCGAGGCGGATGGATCATGAGATCAGGAGATCGACACCATCCTGGCAAACACAGTGAAACCCCGTCTCTACTAAAATTACAAAAAAATTAGTTGGGCATGGTGGCAGTCACCTGTAGTCCCACCTACTCGGGAGGCTGAGGCAGGAGAATTGCTTGAACCCAGGAGGCAGAGGTTGCAGTGAGCCAAGATCGTGCCACTGCACTCCAGCCTGGACAACAGAGCAAGACTATCTCAACAACAACAACAAAAGCTAATTAAGGTTATATGAGGTCACAGAGGTGGGGCTCTAGGCCAGTATGACTGGTGTCCTTGCAAGGAGGAGAGACAACAGGCAGGTGCACACACAGAGGAAAGGCCACAAGAGGACACAGGAGAAGGCAGCTAGCTACAGCCAAGGGGAGAGGCCTCAGGAGAGGCCAAATCTGCCGACACCTGGATCTAGGACTTCCAGCCTCCAGATCTGTGAGACAACACATTTCTGTTGTTGAAGCCACTCAGTTTGTGTGGCATTTTGTTATGGCAGCCCAAGCAAACCAATAAAAAGTAGTATGGTGATGTGGCTTAGGAAAGGAGAAGATGCTTGATTTGAAGCAGCTGCCTGCTCTTCACCGGGGGCCTGAACACAGGATATAATCACAATTAATGGCATATTCCTATCAAAAGAGAAAACTTTTATATATTCAAAAGAAACTGAAAGCTAGTTGTAAATCCTATGGAAGAAAACCACACCATTGGATATATGGTTTTAACGAACACTGGAATTGGAATCCCTTCACCTGTATGCATGCATTCATTCATTCATTCAGTTCTTCTTCATTTAATCAACCAACCAACAGGAGTGACCAAGCCTCTCAATCCAGTGCCAGGTGCTGAAGGACACACAGCCTGGAGGCCAGAGCTGGGCTCTGTGTTGCTCAGGGGCTTCCAGGGGAGAAGTACAGGCAAGGGCTACACGATTGAGAGATTGTGTCTCCATGGGGCAAGCCAGGAAGCAGGAGGAGCACGGAGCAGAGGCGCCCTGGACAGGGGTACTGTGGCCATGCCTGACCCATGAACCCCGGGAAAGAGCAGCCACTCCTAGAAACAGCACATGCCTGGCAGCCCTGTTGACAGACAGAGGTCAGTCCGCATAAGCCTCCATGGCCCCAACCTGACCTGGGCCTGTGTCAGCCAGCCCTCCAGGGAAGCATACTTCACATGGCCTTTGGCTAGCAATTCCCTCATGGAGACAGCCCCCAAATAACAAAGCAGGAGGAGTTGGCTGGTTGCTTCTTGACACCTTGCTCTCAGATCTGTTTAGAGGACCGATTAAGTGTAATATATTAAAAATCATTTTGTAAACTCTGAAATGTGACATGAATGGTAGCTATCATTAGATTTTGAAGGGTCTTGTGAGTCACCTAATCCAAAATGATCATTTGATGGATTAAGAAACCGGAGTGGAGACACACCCAAAGCCACCCAGCTGGCACGTGGCAGAGCTAGAACAAAGGCTTGGGATTACTCACTGCCGAGGCTCCACAAGAAGCTCTGGTTTTCAACATGTGAATTTCATAACATTATATATTTTTCACACCTATACTGTTTTCTTCGATTTTACAATTCTAAACATACATGATTCACAATTTTGATTCTGGCAATGCAATACTATATTTCGACCTCCTGACGAACAAAGGTTTGTGTTATGGCAGGCAAAACTGGAAACACCCTGGGCATTGTGCCTGTATTAACCAAACACTGTGTTCCTACACTCAAGAATGGTTTCCATTTGAAATCCATGAGAAGTCAAGAGCAAACCAGACATAACTGAGGACAGGAGACAAAGGAAAATGGCAGGTGAAGGGGAAGGTGAGGGAGGGAAAGTTAGAGTCGGAGGGGAAGGTAGAGGGGCAGGGGAAGGTAGAGGGGGAGGGGAGGGTAGAGGGGGAGGAGAAGGTAAAGGGGGAGGGGAGGGGAAGGGGAAAGTAGAGGGGGAGGGGAAGGTGGGGGGAGGGGAAGGTGAGAGAGGGAAAGGGAGAGGAGGAAGGGAAGGGGAAGAAGGAAAGGAGGTTTTCTCAGCACTGTATGCCATTTTTAGTGCTGTCTTTAGTCACTAAAAAGCGAGGAGCCTGGCACCAAGGTAAAGGGTAAAGCTCAATAAAGGTCATTTGCATGCATGAGAACAAACTGCTAAGCTTCCATCTCATGACCACAGCTGTGTAACTTGGTAGGCTGCCTCTCCTGCCTGGGTGACCAAAATGCTCAGAGCCAAATGCAACCCCAACTGCAGACCCCTTCGAACAGCCTGGTGGCTCTTCCCCTTGGTGTCACTCTTCATAGCCTCTTCATCTAATGCCTTCTGCCATAAATAACTTAAAAACATTTCAGGAAAATAGCAAAAGGAAAGTCAAAGACCAGCTTACAAGAAGGAAGGCAACAGAATGTGCAGTGCTTGTTTGAGGACAGCTCCTCCACTGTGATCAAGAAGTCTCCAGATTCTCCCAGGGTGTATCAGCCCCTTAGATTATTATTTCAACTCTAAACTTACCAACAGTGTCACACGGTTCATCTTTGTGTACACAGAAATCTGTCCTAAAAAAAAAAAAAAAAAAAAAGAAAGCCATTATCAGGTATATGCAGTATCCCCAAGACTGGAAGAAGAAAACACTGTCAATTAACCTCAAGTAGTCATCCTGCAATGTTATTGTTCCAGTGGTCACAGGCCACAGTGAATGATAACAAACAGCAGCGTTTGGCAACAGTAACCCATCCACATTTCCCAGGGGTAGGTCCACTTACCCCACATGAGAATCTTCTTTTACAGATGAACTATTCTATACATAACAGTTGCTGGAAGGACTCCTTTCAGCAGCTGAAAATGTTTTGGAAGATGTTTGCCAAGTCACTGATCAGAGACAATTCTCAGACAATAGCATCCAACTGCAGTGGCTTCCCCAAGCTACTCTACTTGGGCAGCAACTGGTTTTTGATGCTGTAATGACCATGCATCACTTTAACGAGAAGACAACAAAAAGTCATCTCTAAAAACTGTATTCCTCTACTATGCAGCCATAAAAAGGAATGAGATCATATTCTTTGCAGAGACATGGATGGAGCTGGAGGCCATTATCCTCAGCAAACTAACGCAGGAACAGAAAAGCAAACACTACATGTTCTCACTTGTAAGTGGGAGCTGAATGATGAGAACACATGGACACATGGTTGTACACACACACCAGGGTCAGCCGGGTGAAGGGGGCTCAGGGAGAGGGAGAGCATGAGGAAGAATAGCTAAAGGATGCCAGGCTTAATACCTAGGTGATGGGTTGATCTGTGCTGCAAACCACCATGGCTCATGTTTACCTATGTAAAGAACCTGCACATCCTGCACATGTAACCCAGAACTTAAAAGTTGAAGGATTAAAAAACTGTATTCCTTAAAGCTCCCCAGGATCCCCTGGGTGGGTGGGCATCTGTGGACCAGTGAGACAGCAAAGATGCTTGAAACCTGGTCCAGCTCCGGTTCTGCAGGTACAAGGGGTTCATCTGGCTTCCTGTGGGGAAGTCAGGGGTCTGGGCTCTTCTTTCCTAATGCTGGAGCATTCCTATGGTTCTTTATAAGTTCCATGGTCAGGGGTCGACCACGGAGGGTTGGCTGGGGCAGGACTCAGCCTGGGAGCCCTGTGAGGAGCCACAACCTGGCCCAGACATGGCCCCTCCCAGGCCCCACACCCATCTTCTCTCAGGGCCCAAAGAACGCTTGAGATCCATACATTTCATAACCTCACTCCAAAACCAAGGGAACTTTCAGGGAAATGGAGGATTATCATAAAGAGATGAAAAGGCCTAGTGACTCGATTTTTCCATCAGACTCCATTTTAGAAGATGAAGGAATAGGCGACAGAAGCAACACCGGCAGAGGGGAAACCAAATAAAATTAGGGGCATAGATGTTCTCACTGGCCCAATACCTGTCTAGCCCCAGCCCAATATTCAGCACCCTTCCCAATTCTGGTGTTTTGAGCGGCACACGCGCGCACACGCACACACACACATTCATACAAAGACCAGGCTGGCCCAGGACCTTGCTCCAGGGTTTCTCGGAGTTGTGAACAGTATATGTTTAAAGCTTTGCCCCATTGCCTCAGCTGGGCAAAGCGAGAAAGGGACCCAGGCCTCAGTCTGACAGAAGAGAAATGAAGCTGCTAGCCAAGGCCAAGGCAGGCGCCATTTTGCAGAGAGCCAGCCCTCTGGCTGAGGAGGACTCCACCTCCGCGCGTTCTCAGATCTAATGGCCGCCCTGAGGGGAAACAGGCAGTCTCGAATGACAGACCCCGAGGCACCACCCACTGCTTCACCTGAGGAAGAGGTGTGTTCAGCTCGGGAGGGAGAGCTACACTCAGAGGCCTGTCTTGAAAAGGTCAGCTGAGTCTGAATCTCTATCCTTCCCATTCAAGGTCCTTTCTCAGAAGAGAAGCAGCAAGCCACCTGCCTGCAGGGGCGGCTTTATCTCCAGGGAACCTGGCTTTGTTCCATTCATTATCAGGGGCATCCACTTTTTATGTCATCCCACTGCCAACTCATGTCAAACCGCCAAGCAGGGACTGTAGCGTTCACTTCAGGAATGAAAAAAGTGAGGGCTAGACTCGGCTCCCAGTCCCGACATCCATTGAAACTCCAAGGTGCATTCCTCGAGGCTGACGTGGATCTGCATGACAGGGCTGGCTTTGTGGGTGTCAGACCCATGCCCTGGGCTAACGCTCTGCTGTCGCGGGGTCCCATGTTTTCATTTTGCAGGGGGCACCACAAGTTACACAGGTCGTCCTGTGCATAACTCACAGCCAGGCATACAGTTGGGACTCAATAAATTATTTCATTAATTGACTGACGTTTCCAGATCCTTTCAAGGGGTCCTGCAAGCTACCCAGCAGCCATGGCCTCACCAGCATTGGAAGCCTGGGAGCATAACACCAAGTTCCATGGATACTTACTGGGACCTCACCACGAGCAAAGCCTGGCAAGAGGGTCCCTTGGCAGAAGGTGAAGGGAAGGGTGTCCCAAGGAGTTAGATGGTATTACGCTGGAGGGGAAGGTCTGGCCAGAGGGATCCTGGTGGTACAGCTTTGGGCCAGCTGTGTCTGCTGTGGCGCCTTTCAGGCACTCTCACCTGGAGCACAGCCCCAGGCTCAAGGAGGAGTTCTTGACTCCAGGGAGGAGTTCTCTGAGTTCTCGGCTTTCTGGGTCAGATGTGGAGCCCAAGGTGAAGCCCTCCTAGGTGCTGAGGCCCCCTGAGCCCTGGCGTCTGTGTGGGCTCCGTGTGGCCCCAGGCCCAGTCCATTCAGGGGTCCTTTCTAGTCCCAGCCACAGCTGCAGAAAACCCAGCTTCCACCGCTTCTGGCTCAGCAGCTCCTACTGAACATGACGTCATCCTCACATTCTCCACAGCAGCCACTTAGCCACCTGTTTGTCAGGCAATGTCTGGGAGAATACACGGTTCGGCTTGGTTACAGCCCGGAAGGTGAAAAAAGAACCTTAAACGGGAGGAAACCCTCACATTGGCCAGTCCTAGCTCAGGACCTGGAAGCTGTCCCCTGAGCACAGCCAGGCCTGTGCAGCCTCAGCTCAGGTTACAGTGGGAGGAAAGGACAGCTTCTCCAGGGCGGCAGCTGCCTCGCACCCAATCTCCTTGTGAAAACATCAGCCCATTATTATCTCAACCTAGGGAATTGCAGCTCTTTACCTCTAGTCATTAAACAAGGATTCCTGGCCAACTCAGCTTCCTGCCCGACTCCAGAGCTGCCTCCCCCGTCCTTGAAGGAGATCCTCAATTTAACATCTGCGAGGACCCAGAAGACAGGACGTGCACTGATCTGTTCAGTCGAGCAGCTCCACGGCAGCAGGTGAGAGGGACTGTGATTGCTCACGTAGCTTCAAGGCGTCAGCCCAAAATGCAGAAGAAAGCTCAAGCTCCCGGGCTGGCAACAGGTAACAGCTATGCAAGAGGCCAATCGCATTCCTCATCCAGAGCCCAGCAGCCTGCAGCTGACGAAACCTTGTTTTCTCTGTCCCTGGATGAAGACACTGCCCATGCCCCCAGCATCCTCACCCAGAACCACTCCCATGCAATTAGGATCCCTCTCCAATGTGTTTAGTTAGAACAGAACTTTTTACTCTGAATTTTTTTTATTGTGCTACATGAACATAAAATTTACTATCTTAACCATTGAGTGTAAAGCTCAGTAATGTTAATTAAATTCACACTGTCATGCAACCATCACCACTATCCACCTCCAAAACTTTTCTGTCATCCCACACTGAAACTCTGCACCCATGAAATAACTCCCCATTCTCCCTTCTCCCCAGCCTCTGGCAACCACCATTCTTTGTCTCTATGAATCCGACTACTGTAAGTACCTCACGTAAGTGGAATCATGCAGTATTTGTCCTTGAGGTTCATCCATGTCGTAGCATGTGTCACAATCTCCTTCCTTTTTAAGGCTGAGTAATATTCCCTTGTGTATATATAGCATATTTGTTTACCCATTCATCCATCGATGGACATATAGGTCACTCCCACCTTTTGGCTGTCATGAATAATGTTGCTATGAACATGAGTGTTCAAATATCAGAGTCTCTGCTTTCAATTATTTTGAATTTCAGTTCTTTTGGGTTCAGAAGTGGGATCATATGGTAACTCTAGTTTTGAGTTTTTGAGAAACCATCATCTGGTTTTCTATTGTGGCTGTACCGTTTTACATTCCCACCAATGGTGCACAAAAGAGTTCCAATTTCTCCACATTCTTGCAACACTTGTTATTTTCCATTGTTCTGTGTATTAGTCCATTTTCACACCGCTGATAAAGACATACCCAAGAATGGGCAATTTACAAAAGAAAGAGGTTTAATGGGCTTACAGTTCCACGTGGCTGGGGAGGCCTCACAATCATGGTGGAAGGTGAAAGGCACATCTCACATGGCAGCAGACGGGAAGAGAGCTTGTGTAGGGAAACACCCCCTTATACAATCAGATCTTGTGAGACTTCTTCACGATCCCGAGAACAGCACAAGAAAGACCTGCCCCCATGATGCAATTACCTCCTACCAGGTCCTTCCCACAATATGTGGGAATTCAAGATGAGATTTGGGTGGGGACACAGCAAAACTGTATCATTTTGTTTTACAGTAGCCACTGTAAAAAGTGCGAGGTGTAGAAAAGAACATTTTTACACAAAATATTTCCTCTGTGGTAAGTGAGAAGGGCGAAAAATGAAAAGAAAGTCTAACTCACAGCATCTTTGCACTGAGGGTGCGTCATGACTGCCGAGGTCTCTTTGTAAAAGGGCTAATACAGATGTCTTGTCAACAGTCATCTTGGTGACATTTATTGCCTCTAAAAAATGCCATTCATCCCCAAATGCAGACTACTTACAAGTGCTTTCTCCGCTCAATGAAAGGAAATAGCAGGAAAGAGAAAACTTCTTCCGATATAGAGAAAATTATCATAAGCTACTAATTTTTTTTAACAAAACACCAGAAATTATAGATTTTCTATAGTATTTATAAAATCTATTTTCAAAGTAGAAACCTTGGGAGTTTAGCTGCATATTCCACAGATGATGTTGTTTAGAGTTCCTCTCTAGGAAAGTCTTTCAGACCAAATATAATTACCATTTGGAAAATCAGCTCCATTTACTTATGATCATGCACAGACACGGTTCCCAAGGACTCCTGCTTGCTCCCCAAATCGAATCCACTCTCAAATCATGGTACCCTTAACCTGAATGCTATGACACCTGGGGTATTCTACAGAAAGTCTCACAGTCCCCAGATGCCATTGCAGAGTGCCTCGAGCAACAGCAGCCTCTGGCCAGTGAGTGTGGGCAGCCACTGCTCTTGGGGAAGGCGCCCAGTGCTCACTGGAGTGGGCAAGCCCAGGTCAAAAGCATGAACCAGGTCATGTTCATCCCTTGGTCCCTGATGCCTGCTACTGCATTAGCCATGTTACAGACAATCAGAATTATTAAACAGACTTTTTCTAAAATGTCTCTTCAATAATTCTGATTGTCTATGATAGAACTTATATATGGATTATATATTTAATCATATCCTGTAGAAGCAGCAAGTGTTCTCCTAAGGGATTGGCACACTACAAAGCACACTGTTAAATGTGTAACGAAGCATACTGAGGGCTGGCAATCGACGAACCATCCACTGGAGTGAGCAGGCATCTATTTGGTAATGGGTGGTGGCCTTGTGTCTATTGTAGGAATTTTTTTTTTTTTTTTTTTTTTTTGAGACAGAGCTTTGCTCTTGTCACCCAGGCTGGAGTGCAATGGCATGATCTCAGCTCACTGTAACCTCTGCCTCCCGGGTTCAAGCAATTCTCCTGCCTCAGCCTCCCAAGTAGCTGGGCAAGTGTGCACCACCAAGCTCAGCTAATTTTTGTATTTTTAGTAGATATGGGGTTTTTTAATGTTGGCCAAGCTGGTCTCAGACTCCTGACCTCAGGTGATCTGCCTGCCTCAGCCTCCCAAAGTGCTGGAATTACAGGCGTGAGCCACCGCGCCTGGCCTATTCTGGGATTTTTGAAAGGAACGAAAACTGTATTGTCCGGTGTCTGGGGCTGGGGTCACAGAACTTCCCCAGATGACTGAGACATCATGGGGCTCAGAGTTTGTAGCACATGGCCTAAGAAATGCAACCAAAAGCCTTTCTTGACTCAAAACCAAATGTTAAGTGAGATTTAACTCTTTGTGGAGAGCCAGGCATGGTGGCTCACACCTGTAATCCTAGTACTTTGGGAGGTCGAGGCGGGCAGATCACCTGAGGTCAGGCATTCCAGACCAGCCTGGCCAACATGGTGAAACCCCCTCTCTAATAAAAATACAAAAATTAGCCAGGTGTGGTGGCACACGTCTGTAATCCCAGCTACTCAGGAGGCTGAGGCAGGAGAATCGCTTGCACCCAGGAGGCAGAGGTTGCAGTGAGCCAAGATTGCATCACACTGCACTCGAGCCTGGGCAACAGAGGAGACTCTGTCTCAAAAAACAAAAAACAAAACAAAAAAACCTTTTTGTGGAGAAACGAACTGCCCCCAAGCTAAAGATATGATAAAATTCTCCCTTCCACAACTTTACGTCCAAATTCACAGAGGAAAAGTAAGCATGCAGTTTGGAAAGTAGTTTCTTTAAATTAAAAAAAGTCGTTAAAATTCAAAGTTGACATATTCTTAGCAACTCTAATAAAAAGCTGGTATTTTTAATCTAATGGATTAAGTTATTAAGGAATATTTCTGTGTTTCTTGTAAAGGGAGAGTTTTGGTATGAACATGTAACACATTTTGTTTACATTATTAAAGTAAAGCAACCAAAGAAAAATCAGTGTTCCTCAAAGAGGGTTGAAACATAAGAAAAAAATGATATAGCCACATTGACATCAACACCACACAATAGTTGTATCCCCCAAAAAGAAATGGTCCAAGTCCTGACCCTCAGTACCTGTGAATGTGACCCTTCGTGGACAAAGGGTCACTGCAGGTGGAATCAAGGTAAGATGCGGTCACACTGGAGTAAGGTGAGCCCAAATCCTATGACTGTCATCTTTATAGGAAGAGGGAAGTCTGGACAGAGAGACACGCAGGGAGAACACCATGTGACAATGGAGGAGGGACAAAGAGGGACACAGCTACATGCCCAGGCATCGTACTTCCCTCAAAGGTAGATACCACCGTTAACCCCCACTTACTAATGAGGAAACCAAAGCCCAGACAGGTGGCCCAAGGTCTGATTTCCAAGCCTGAATCCTTAATAACATGCCTATTTCCTCTCTGAAGGGAAACATCTCTTCCCTTTCGCATGTCAGCTACAGGCCAAATCCTGTCTTACCTGGTCACAAACACAGCAGCATCCACCAGGGGCGGGTCGTCCTTCCCGCCGGGAACCTGGTTATTGCCAAGGTACCGTGCTCCTCCATACTCCTCGTTCTGCCAGTGACAGAAGCTCTCCAGGGACCGCTCACCATGGTGCCCAATGGACAACTTAGCCTAAAAGAAATCGGGACAGTTAGAGACACAAACACCTGGGAGGCCAGAGTTTACATCCAGACTATGGCAAGGATGTTAAGGTGGAGGCAGTCACTCACTGAGACATCATTTGATGACTCACTGCCCTCGAAGAAAAGCCTAATGCCAGTGGGTATATGGCATAGATCCAGAGAGACCATCAGGGGCCTTATATAGGTGCAAATGAAGACTATGTTGTTTTTTAATAAAGCATCTTATTTTCTGCAAACAGAACAGTATCCCAAACCACACAATGCTCCCTCAGTCTCATGGTGATGGCTTGACTTGGAGGTAACATCAGCGTGTGGGAAGGCGTGCCATCGAAAGACCAGAAAAGAATGCTGCTGTGAACCCAAACTGGGGTCGAAGCTCTAATGTAGTTTCAGAAGGGAAGCCACGATGCCAGAGACCTCGTCATCAAGCTTTTGCACATGTACTAGAGACTCCATACGAGACCCTCCGGGAGTGGAGGGGGATGCATGTGGGCTCACTGCTTAGGGTTCCTTGAGATTCTCAGCAGCCCACCCTCACACCATGCTTCCAGTACTGATGCCGGCTTTCCTCTCACACTGGCAAAGCCACAGAGGGTGACGGACACCAGCAACTCCCTGGAGCCCTGCTTAGCATTCAACAGCAATTGGGAAGCTCCAGGCCAGCCACATTTTCTGCATGCTTGAAAGGTGCCTGTGGGACTTACGGGACGTTGTCGTAGCAGGACAAGCTTGGTCACTTGAATGTTAATTTTAATCCCCAGGCTCTGGTGCTGAAACATATTGTATACCTATCAAGACAGAAAAAAGAAATAAAGATATAAAGATAAAAAATTTTAAAAATACAGTAGTATCCTGAATGGGAACTTGGGACACAGAAAAGAGATTATGTAAAAATAAGGAAATAGAAATAAAGCATAGACTTTAGTTTATAACACTGCATCAGTACTGGTGCATTAATTACAACAAACATGCCATTCTAATATGAGAGGCTGATAATGGGGAAACTATGTATGGCAGTTCTCTGTACTAACTGATCAATTTTTCTGTACATCTTAAATTATTCTAAAATACAAATTCCATTCATAAAAAAATTTAAAAATCAACATTAAAAATATAGGTTGTATTCTTCCAGTACTAAAAAAAAAACTAAAGAATAATTACGTGAAATTCAAATGTCAGTGTCCATACATAAAGTCTTATTGGAACGAAAAATACATATGTGAGAAACATAACCCAGATTTTATTTAAAAAGTTGTCCAGGAAAGCCAAAAATGTCCTTAAAAATGGATTTGCCAAAAGAAAAATGTAGATAAGAGAAACCTCTAGAATCATACACATGTGTGCAAACATACATATACAGTATGCTTATGTATATGTATAAAGCTAAGCTGGAAATAGTTGGTTAAAAAACACACACACACACATAGGAAAGGTGGTTTTGAAAAAAAGAAAGGCCAGAAGGCTGAAAACTTCCATTCCGGGCTTTCGTGCCTGGGGCTTAAGGGGACCTTCATGAAGGGGCTGGGGGAGACAGATGCCTGCTGCTGAACGCCAGCCTGTGTCACTGCTAACCCTTGCCACATCCCACCAAGGCGGGCATCTCCACCACTCTCAGCTGGGAAACAGGGAAATCAGTTCATTGAGGTAAAGCCACCTGTGTGAGACCCACAGCCAGTCACAATGGTTTGATTCAAACTCAGCCCTGTCCAGCCAAAGGTCTACATTCCTTCTTTATTTCCTCAAGTCCCATTGTAACCAAAGTCTGTTACTGAAATAAACTGCAGTAACAGAAAAGGACCTATCTTTCTTAATTTTGCATATCTTGTTGCAGAACTTAATCGTAAGGACCTCAACATCAAGCAGTCACAGGAAAGCGATTCAAGAGGAAGAGAAGGGAAACCTGGAATAAGGCGAAGGAGTCAAAGTTGACGTGGATGGAAGAAGCCCACTGCAGCTGACAAGCCCCAGGTCATTATGACTCTGCCGAGTTCCTTTTCCGCAACGCGGAGAAAGCAGGATTGCAAGAGGTATGTGAATAGCGTACTAAAGGCGGTGGCGGTTGGAAGGTGTGGAGGGAACAAGAATGAGAATCTTTTGAATATTCTACTTGGTTTTTACCTATAGACATAACCCAGGAGGGAGAATTTTCTAGCAGGAACATTAAAACTTTCTCCAGCTGGTGCTGTGTTCACGCTATCAATACATCAGCAGCAGCAGCAAGCGACGAGCTCGGTAGACAGCGTCGCCAGGGTCAACTCAGGCCAAGTGGAGCCGCTCAACACGGCCGCACCCAGCCCACAAGTGCTAGAAGCCAGGCACGCAGTGTTTGAGCATCTCCGTGACAAAGGAATCAGCTGTGTCACTGCTTGAATTTTACTCTTTGAAAACCATTACAGTTAAAAAAAAAAAAAAAAAAAAAAAAACCTATCTTTGTGTGACGTAATATTCCTTCACACAAGGAAAAATAGAACACATCCAGTTGTTCTGTTCTCACTTTTGTTATTTTCAAAATCTCCTTTCCTCAAGAACTAGCTGTCGTTTTCTTAATACTGGACCATCCACAAGCCAGTTCTGAAGTCATCCATTCATTACCTATCTCCAAGCCTGGGAGAGGAAGGGGGAGGCACCTAACTTGTTCCTGTTTTGATAGTTCCAGAACCATCCAATGGCTGTAATTCAAATCTTCCCTAAAATATTCAGCATCAGAATTGGGTCTAAACTGGTAAATTTCAGCTCAAAACATGAAAATTAGGAAGAATGAAAACCTGAAGTTACGAGGGAGAAAATTCAAGTTGCACAGTGTTCATTGAGATTGCACAGCACAATCTAAACACTGCCTGTCACGTCAACCCCAGTCAAAACCAAAAACATTAAGGAATACTACAGATTTAAAGAAGTAACATGAGAAAGCAATCCTCAGTGATATTCTGATATGCCACAAAAGGAAAGACTGCAAGGAACAGTGCAAGTTTCAGGAAGAACAAAACTGTAGCAACAAGCTCCCCTGTCAAAATCACCCATCTTCTCCTTGACGGGCTGATGACAGTTCAGAGCCACGTGCACTCCATACACCATTAGCCCAAAGCTCAGTCACCTCCCTTAGAACAAATGCCACTAAAAAGATGGGAGATGGAAGGGGGATGCGAAAGTTTCGTGCTCCAGGGGCCGCGGGGGAGGCAAAAATGGGAAGGTGTTTAATGGGTACAGAGTTTCAGTTTTGCAAGATAAAAAAGCTGTAGAGATTGATTGCACAACAATGTGAACATAAGAATACTGAGCCACACAGTTAAAAATGGCTAAGATGGTAAATTTCACGTTAGCTGCATTTTACTACAATTAAAAGTACAAAGTTAACTCATTAAAAAAATAAAGCTTCATGCTCTAAATAATGTTCTTTAGCAAGCCTTGTAAGAAGACATTTCCTCTTGACATGTAACTAGGGCACTGACATCCAAGAGAGCAAGTACCAAAGCCTGAGCACAGCTCAAGCACTTTGTCACCTGCCAGGTGCTGACCACAGGCTCTGACAAAGCTCAGAGCACAGGGCAAGGCGCACATTCAGAATCTCCCTTGAGGTCCTGTGCCAAGCCAGACGAGCCAGAAGAAAATCCGATGACAGCCACAAAACACAAGGCACAAGCCTCAAAGACATGTAACAAAGTCTCTGCTTTTCTTTTCCCATGGAAACTCATGCTCAGGAGAAGTCTTCGAGGCAAGGGCTACATGATGTTTAGGGAGACACCTGGTTGGGGCGGGAACAGCACAGCCAAGCGTCTGGAAATTCTGTCTCCGGCGTCCAGCTCTGGCTGCGTCCCAGCAAGTGTTCAGCCCTGGCTGTGTTTGTCACATTTCCTTGGCAGCCTAGGGGCCTAGCAGGGTGGACCTGCTGCCAGCAGCACACTACGGCTTCTCTGGCTAGGCAATGTGGGGACACAGTAAGGGAGGGGCAGACAGGGACCATAGAAGGAGGCACAAGGAGAGGAGCTGCTCACCACACCAGGCTGGGCTTCACAAGGGCACCACCTGCCTGTATAATCCAAGGTCTCCCTAGAGCCAGACAGGGACTTGTGGGTGACACTCTTAGGTTGCATACACCGCTATTAAGACCCCCAAACAGGAGAAAGCTATGCTCTGTAGCACAGTGTCTGAGTGGGGTCCCCAAAGCAGCAGCACCGACGTTACCTGGGCACTTGTTGGAAACGCACATTCTGGAGTCCACCCCAGCCCCCACTGTATCAGAGACCCTGGGGTTGGGCAGGCCATCTGTGTTGAACAATGCCCCTTCCCCACCCTGCTCCAGGGCCTCCACCCTCACTGGAGTGTGGGAACCAGAGTGCTCTAGCACGATGCTAGTCTTGCTGGTCACCAGAGGCTTGTTGTCTCTTTCACATGGTAATTTAGTAAAATTGATGTCATTTTCCCTCGAAACAGAACTTGCCTGGAACAGCTCAGGTTTTTCATTCCATTCCACGGTCGTTAAGGAAGCTAAGAACAACCAAAGCTCTGTCAAGCGGCCCCATTTTCCAATTTGGCTGCCCACACCCACGGTTTCTGGTATCAGCACCACCTGTTTCCGTCTGCAATTTGTTCTTTAAAATATTCCTGCTCCTGTGTCACCGCCATCCCAACCAAAGGAGAATCACGTGACATACACAGGAAGCACCACAGCACATCCGGAAAACCCACAACAGTGGGACCAGAGCACCACTCTGCAGCTTGGGTCAGCTCGGGCGCCCGGCTCGATGGAGGCTTCACCCTCCACACCTACCTGCACAGGTGAGGGGTTTGCCAGGGACACAGAGCCAGGAGCCGAACTCCATTCCCCCAGGTAAGAGGCAGGCAGAAGCATATTTTAAAACACTAACCAGAGCACATCACTCTTCTGCTTAAGCCCATGCAGCAGCTTCCCACTGCCTGGAACAAAGCTGCTTTCCACACCCTGGTGTCCCCGCCTGCAAGGTCGGCCTGTCCGCTTCTCACTGTGCCCCCACCACCCCCCCATCACACACAAGCAACCAGCTATTTCTGTGCTTCTCCAATGCCAGCCTGACCACCACTGGCTGGCTGCTTATGTTGGCTTAATACCTTCCCCTCTAAGACCACCTCACTCCTCTCAGAGAGATGACCCTGAAACCTCTGTCACTGCTGTCACCTGGTTCTCTGCATAGCACTCACCATGCTCTGGTTTTCCTTCTCACTAATGTGCATGTTGAATGCTGCCTGTCATTCCTACTACATGAGCTCTGTGAGGATGAGACCTCTAGTGGTCCCTACTCTATCCCAGGAGACACAAGGGTCCTTAGCATACACTAAGTGTGTCAATTGTTTTTATATTGCTGGTGAAACAAATATAACATAAAATTTACCATCTCAACCATTTTTAAGTGTACAACCATGTACTTAACTGTAGTGTTAATTACATTCATGTTGTTGTACAATTAACCTCCAGAATGCTTTTCATCCTCCAACACTGAAGCTCTATACTCAAGAAACACTAACTCCCTGTCCCCGCAACCCCACCCTCATTCTATGACTTGGATACTGCAGTTACCTCATGTAAGCAGAATCATTTAGCCCTTGTGTTTTTGTGACTGGCTTATGTCACTTGGCATAATGTCCTCAGTATTCATCCATGTTGTGGCATGTGTGGGAATTTCCTTCTTTTTTAAGGCTGGATGATACTCCATTGTATGGACACTCCACATTTGGTTTATGTGCTCATCTGCCAATGAACACCTTGGCTGTTGCCATCTTTCGGCCATTGTGAATAATGCTGCTGTGAACACGG